CCCCYGCCCCCTCCCTCCCCTCCCTGTGCCCTATCTAGAGCTCGCCTGTTCCTCCCCGGCTCCCCTGCGCTCACTCTGTTAAACCTGAGTTCAGTGAGCTGGCTGAGCATTGGTCAACTCCTGGGCTGGGTCTGAGACTTCCAAGGGGTAGCCAGCCCTAACCTGTCAGAGTCACGCATACAAACGGGCAGGGGAGGGTCTGCGCCTGATGTGGATGTTTTCTTGGTGCCGGCTATTCAGCCAGACCTTCTAGCTTTCTTGGGGGCACAAAGCTCCTCCCTGGATGAGAGATGCTGCTCCCTGAGACCAAGGTGTCTCCACATGGTTTGCTGGTTCCTCACCTGAAGATGAAGTATGTCCTGTTGCCTGAGACGGGACCTGACCGGAGCTGTGCCTGGGGCTCTGTCTCCTCCCTGCTTGCCCATGTTGGAGGAGACTCCTCCTCCTGCTACGGTGCCTTCCCCTTAGCAAAGGCGAGGATGGGCCTGCCCCGTGGAGTGTAACAAATGCTCTCGGCGGTCAGCCCTGGGTATGTGTCCTCTAGGACCAGTCATCAGGGGCTGACGACTCTCCCAGCAGAGCTGTCATGGGGCCACAGGAGGCTCTGGTTCACACCTGGAAGCACTGAGCTCTCGGCGATTGGCCAGCTCAGGCGACTTTCCCGGAGTGACCTGATGTAGGCTGCAGGTGACAGCTCTTTGACCTGCTGCAGGTCCCAGCAGGGCTGGGGGCCTGAGCCACGCTCTGTGRGAAGGAGGCCAGGGGTCCTACCGAGGAGCGATATCCAAGAAGTTCACCAGCACGCCGGCTTCACAGAGGCTGCTGAAGGCAGAGGACAGCACCAGGAAGACCATGGTGGTGCTGTGGCTGTATCTGACCCAGTGCAGGGCCACCAGGACCCCAGAGGAGAAGACCACACCTGGGCAGAAGGAGAGGTGGGATCAACAGGAGGCTGCAGCGAGCCTCCCAGCCACGCCTGCCTCCAGCTGGGCCATTACCTATGGCCGTGAAGAGCTTCCTGATGGTGACAAGTCTGAGGACTCTTCTGGAGAGGAGAGAGTCGGCCAGGAGACCCGACAGGATGATACAGACACAGCCAACCACAAATGGCAGAGCCGACAGGATCCCGCTCTGAGGACGAGAGAGGTGAGTGCATGCACCCCCACCCGCTGAGAGACAGACTGCCCACGGCTGTGGCTTTTCTTTATAGACACATCTGTTCTAATGTCCATTTCAGGCACTGGAATGAGCCAGTGAACTTTAAGTACTCAGGGAAAGATGTGCATATATCTCAAGTTAAAAGAAATGTTCTCTTGATATATAAGGATCATGTGGAAATAGGTATTAAAAAGACCAAAGTCCAGCAGAAAAATGAAGGATATGAGCAAACAATTCACAGAAAAAGRAAAAACAAGAGGCTCCTAAACACGTTAAAACAAACCCAACTYCACTTAGAATAAAGCCATAGTGAGATGTTACTTTTCATGAATCAAATTGGCAAAGATTAAAATAGGATTGACATGTTTCGGTGGCACTGCAGGGACTGGGGTCCTCACAGACATTAGCGGTGCCCACGCAGAACAATTTGACAAATATAAGTGGATAGYGCATTTCCCCTCTGACTCAGCAATCTCCCATGAAGACATCTACTCCCCAGAAATCATTGTGCAAATGTTTGACAAATGAAAAAGGCTTTTGCTGCAACRTTGTTCAATGATGGAAAACCCTAGATATTGCCCAGTACAGTTCCTGYGGACTGATATAAAGAGAACCTCAAGGTATACTAAATGGCAAAGACCTAGATTACAAGGCAAAACCATGACCCACAGGCCAGAGGTTTGGTGAAAAAGAAAAAAAGAAGTTGAGAAAATAAGAATATATACTCATGTATGTTTGCATTCTCACAGAGAAACAATGGAAAAAATGTGAGAATTCAAAACAACAAAACAAAAAACAAACAAAACAACAACAACCTGTCAATAGAGCAGGCCAGGAAGACAGGGCAGATCAGAGACAAGACCCAGAGTAACATTTTTCACTCTTCATAGAGCTTTATCAAGTCAAAAGTTATGTAGTTTTGCAAAGGTTGAAGCTTGTTAYTTTTAATTCAACCTCCAAGTTAAATTCTTACTGAAGAAAACGAAGGRGAAATGAGATCACACTTTGCTTTGKAYAATCCAAATAATGGAAAGCTTAGCTTCCCCCTAACTGTGCACAGATGGCAAGCCACGCCCATCCGGGTTAAGTGGTACAGGGGCACCCCGAGAGCAGCAGGCCTCCTGGGCTGCGGACTTCCCGGCCTGGGGAGCTCTACGGTTGGGCCACACTTGACTTCCCATTTGACTRTCGTCCTCGTCAGCCTTGGCCTCCCCACCTGACTTGACACCAGAGACTGGGGCTCCTCCAGCCAGGCTCAGAGGCCTGCCGCTCGGCTCTGGCACCCTGCACGCCCGGCCTTCTGCYCCCCTGGTTGCATTTCATTTTCCCCTTCGAGAGGACACAGAGCCACTCCTCCCTGGGGCTTTTGAGTCAGTGCCTCCTTCCTGCAYGTGTGCCCCAGGCTCTGACTCCCTAAGCAGGTCAGCTGTCCCTTGGCGGCTGTGTGCGTTTCCACTGGAGGCGACCCTGCCTGAGTAGGCGCCTCTTGGAGCAGAGAGGTGGGAGGTGATAGTGGTCACTAGGGCAGCTGTCACTCACAGGCTGCCACCTCTAATACCTCTTTGCCACCTGAAGACATCCATCTASTGGAAATCGGACAGCTTCTCCAGCTGGCCAGCAACCGTTCACTTTGTGAAGATCTGGAGGGTCGTACACCCACGTGCACTCTATTCTCCATGTGATACACATACACAATTTTTTTTTAGAGAAACATCATCCTCAGTTTTTTTAGGTAAGCTCTACCCGGGATGGTTTTCTTCTGTGCTTCTCGGTCACAGWTTTTCATTGTGTCTATTATTTATGCTGCCAGCAGTGTCTCAGTCACAAATGTTGACTGAATTGAGAATAAAATGTTTGCAAAGGACTCTTAAACATGAATTGTGTGACTGTCACACAGACCTACAACCGTGACCAGCTGCTCCGACGAGCGGTAAACCACACTGGGGTCAGCCAGAAGCCGGCTGGCGAGGCCGCATTTCCTGTCTGGAGTCCTGGGCCTAATCCACTCATTTTGCAACCACGGGACACACAGAGGATTATAGAGTGAAGCATTTAAACAGAAGAACAAAAYGAGCTTTCTCTGTACTCACATCTCTGAGGTTGGTTTGAAGTACGGAGCTGATGTACGTGGGCGTGTACGACATTATGGTATAGAAAAGCCAGTATTCACAGAAATAAGAGACTAYGATGGCCCAAAGTGGCAGCGAGAGGATCATGGCTTTTAAGGGCAGAGTCCAGCCTGGTGAAGAGTCCTGGAAGAAAGCACATATCAACACCCGCTCCCTCGGGGGACGGGCTCTGCTCTGCACTGTGAGGAGCCAGGAGGTGGGGAGAGGGCAGGAGCCTTGCTCGGGATACCTGTTGGGCCAGGGAGCTCGCGATGTACCTCTTCTCACCAGCACTGATGAAGGGGTGATTCCCAGGGTCATTGTAAACGAGAGGAAACCAGAGGAGGCAGCAGGCACACCCAATTCCACCTGGGAAGAGAGRATGGTTCTTTCAGCTGGCCTCTTCCCCAAGATGACTCCTCGGTTGGCAGAATGATTGACACCCACACTGCAGCCCGTCACCAGCACCCGGCCCTGTGCTGAGTGGAGGCTCCCCGCCGCGTGGCCAAGGTTCTTGACCTGTTCTGAGCCCACCACTGCCAAGAGGAGCATGCTCCTGCTGACCCATTGTCCAAAGCAGATGACAGACACAGAGAGGAGTCACCCAGTTGCCTTGCGGAACTATGAGAGTAGAGATGGCCGTTTTAAACCACTGAGATTTGGAGGTTTGGAAATGCAGCRGTATTGACGCCATAGCACGCTGCCACAAGCTATTAGTGTGTCTGTCCCATGTGCTTRGAAATGTTCTCACTGTTCCTGTAGCAACCAGCATCCTTCCTGAGAGTCACGCGTCCACAGAGTCCCCTCTTCTCCACCTTTCCACGTCTTTCCCTTATCCCGAAGCACTTGAGATGTAGCAGCAGCACATTWTAGGTGCAATGGATCACCCAATTTCTAGAGAAATGAAATTATTCCTCTGGAAAGGAATCGTCCCTAATTTTCACATTATTTTGGTCCCCGGGAACTGGACATCAGCACTGAGTGGCCACATGACCCTTCTTGGAATTCTCCCCTTAGAGTCAGGTGTGGTGGCGCACGCTTGGGATCCCAGTGGCTCAGGAAGCTGAGGCAGGAGGATCCTAAGTTCAAAGGAGACCCTAGCAACTCAGCTAGACCCTGTCTCTAAATAAAATGTGAAAAGGGGCTGGGGACGTGGCTCAGTGGGCAAGCGCCCCAGGGTTCAGTCCCTGGCATCAAAAAGGAAAAAAAAAATTCTCCTCTTAGAATCTCAAGAGTTTTAAGTGTTCTCGTCACATAAGCGGCTTGCCATATGCACGTCCCTTCACAAACATTACACAGCAGACACCTCCGTCAAGCATTGTGCTAAATTTTGAGACTAGAGGATACACAAATACAATTTTTCCCTCAAGGAAGTTGATGGGCTGGGGGGATAGACATGAAAATCAGCAATGTGGTGGACTGGGGTTGGAGGGTGTCAATAGTGACTCAACAAGTCTTTAGTGATTCCTATTTTGTACATGCTGCTTGCTAATCCTCAAAATCACCAGCATGGTGAATCTTTCTCATTGTTTAGTAAACTTCATAATCTGCCCTTTTGGCATTTTTTTAATGACAGTCTTTGAAGACTGATATTCTATAGCAATTAATATTCATACATTTTTTATGCATGTAGTTGCCTAATGTTACAGGAGCCCTTGATTAAAGAGGATGACCCTCTGATGTAAACACTAGTGGCACTCACCCTAAGGAACCAGGGAATTTACAGGAGGGATATCCGAGTGTGTCACAAGTCGAAAATACAAACATGAACTGGTAGCAGCAGGGCTGTCCCATCCAGAGCTCAAATGAAAGTAAAAYGTGAAGCTGTAAATACTGCCTTTGGAACATTCCAGAACTTTCTGTATTGTGTCCACTCTTTAGACTCTGATGGTCTGTCCTGCAGGCTCTACTGACTGATTCTCCACTCCAGGCAGTATTTTACCTATGATTAGTTTGCATTCACACAATTTTCTGGAAGTGGTAAAGAATGTGTTCAATAAATAAGCACAGACTAAAACATAGCCTGTGATCACAGTTCTCCTGAGATAACATTTTCGATGTCTTATGAAAGAAATGGCTCTGGGATCCTTTGGGTTCAACTTAGAAGCAGTAAAGAATCCTATGATACCCCTAAATCCATAAGGTTATTCTAGCTTTGCACCGAGGCTACTGAAACTTAACCACTGTYGTAGAAACCGGCATGATTCACAACAGGATTGGTGCTAACCAGGATCCGCTCATGCATACCTACTGGGATTGGCTCACCCAGGGTAAGCGGCATTACAGAGATCATGCTTGATGCTCTTTGTCTTCAAGGAAAGTTCCAAGATTTGAAGAGCACAGACTCACCAAATATATAGAAGACATAAGGCCATCCTATGTTCTGGCAGATGAGGCCACCAGTGAGAAGGACAATGAAGGTCCCCAGCATTGACCCTGAATGGAAGATGCAAGTGTTCTGGGTGAGAGCCGGGCTTGGGAGTCCACGCGCTTCCCGCAGAACCGCCAGGATTGCAGGCTGCAAAGCCTGCTCCTCCTCTCGTGTGACCTTGGATGATTGTTAGCCTATGTGTGCCCCAAACTCCTTAGGTGGGAGAGGAAAAGAATTACACATGGCTGACTCAGAAGACTGTTCTGAGACTCATAGGAAATGAGCACGTAGGAAACACAAGAATGTTGGTGCACAGTAGTGCCCAGTTCTGATCAAGGTAGTGCAGGCTGCGGCTTGCGAGCCAGGGCTGTGCTGATGGTGACTGGAATGTGAGGTCTCAGGGCCTTTGAGGGGTGTGGCCGGCGCGCTTGGACAAGGTGAGTGAAGGTGAGTGGGAGGTCAGTTACCTGATCCAGCAATGGTTGTGAGTTGACTCCTTTCCAGCGGGGGAGCCCATTTGACCCAAATTGAATATTGACCTGTTAATACCATAACCTGGAGGGGGGATTTCTGATCTTAGGAACATGAGATCGTTCTGGAAGCTAGGTTCCATTCACACTTGGGAAACATCTTAGTACCTGGGCGATGCCTTGGATGACCCGAAGGACGATGAGCAAGGCCACTCCAGCGTCAGCCGCCAGCGGGATGAAGAGGGTTAGGACGGAGGAAGCCAACAGGCCGGTGCCGACCACGTACTTAGCTCCAAATATCCCAGCCACATAGCCCGTGGGGATGGGGGCCACGAAGGAGCCATAGTTGAGGGAGCTGAGGATGATGCCCTGGATCTCAGGACTCCAGTCGTATGCAGGGGCCTAGGCCACAAAGGTAACCTCACTGCCGGTCTGTGCTTACAAAGTCGGCTTCATATCGTGAGGACTTGCAGGCAAAAGGAAATACGCCATTCTCTTTCCTATTACCTCTCTCCCACTCTTCCAATTTACCAACTTCATAAACGGGAAAAAAAAAGCTTAAGCATATGCCTAACACACTCTTCCCCTGCCACCCTGACATAGCTAACTGACCAGTTAAAATGTGAGAGTCCATGAAGAAAGAAAGCTTATAAAGAAGCAGAGACAGTAGACTCAAATCCGTGGAATTTGTTTTGGGGTGATTTCCATCACTGTGGGGTAAGAATTTATGTCCACCAAATGGTAAAGGCTGTTTCCTTTATTCTAACTTAGCTCCTGCTTATACTCGTAAAGTCTCCTTAGACACACAGTATGCTCTCGTGCTGTTCCTGGCACATAGTATGCGCTCAATAAACACATTTATTGGCTAAAACAGTTGCGTTCTTTTATGAGATAACCTTTTAAGATGATCCACTTGAGTAAAATAAAGGGTCCAGAGTCTCACTAAACTCACCCCTGCCTTGGATTCCTTTAGAGATGAGTTCCAGGGGTCCTGGGGATGCGTGAGGGGCATCTCCGTGGAGGCATTGGGCTGGCTGGGAGCCACCGTGCTGTTCACCATGGCTGTGATGGCAATGCTCAAGTTCATTTGTTGGGTGTAAATTGAAAAATTACAGAGCTGCAAGATGAGGGCCAGGCCATGTCGGACGGAACAGAGACCTGCAAGAAGGGCACAGAAGGTCCCATCAGGTCCAGAAGATGAGAAGGTTGACATCTGCCTGAGATGGAAACATGGGGACAGCAGACCTTGTTGTGCAGGTGTCTGGGGGACCCCTGTTCCCTGGGGGATGTGGGAACAGCAGCCCCTTAGAGGCATTGCTCGAGCAGAGGCGTGAGGAGCGTGTGGAGTCAGGGGGAAGGAGCCTGAGGGMAGGGCTCTCCAGGGCCTGAGAGGAGAGGTTGGGGTGGGGCTGGGAAGAGCACTGCAGAGAGAGAACAGGCAGAGTCAGCGACCCACTGCATACGGAGAGCAAGAACGTCCCTGGCCTGGGAGCTGACATGGTGCGAAATGCCGCTTATAGAACCAGGGAACCCGGGCATTTAACTTGTTTCCAGGCTCAGGGGAGACGCTACCTGAAAAGTAGGCTAGGGTCAGAGTGCAGACGCCTTTCATCTTTGTCTGGRTACTCTGGGGCAAAAATGATGTCCCCATAATCCAGGCTTGCATGAAACTTGCTCTTGTTCCATGGGAACTGTGGGGCCATCCCTTGATCAAGAAAGATACACGAGTCTGATGATGGTTGGAAGGTTGATAGRCTGTGGAGAAATCCAGAAGCAGCGCATGATCCCTGCCTGGGCAGTGAGTGTCCTCCCCAAGCTCCTGCAGGGAGCAGAGGCACCTGGAGCAGGCCACCCTGGGCTTCTTCCTCTGCAGATGCTCCCTCAGGTCTGGGAGCTGACATTCGGTCTAACTCCGGGGCACTTAACTGTGCCTGGACCATCCGTCACTGCCGTGTGGATCAGCAGATTAAACTGAGAAGGGTCGTCACCGCTACAGCTTCGCCTCCTCCTCGCCAAGGGCACCTGCCCACGTCTCCAGGACTTTCTCTGTCCCAGGGAGACCTCCTACTTCTCTTCAGTGAAGGCCCACACAGTGGGTTAAGTACCTTGCATTGTTTCTGCAACTGAGGCTTGTTTTTTTTTTCCCTATTATTTTCATCAGTTTATTTTTTCCCCTTGGGTTTTGACTTTAAAAAAAAAATGAAAAGAAAGATTTTATGTACAAATAATGGGGAAATGAGTTATTCTTGCTGTTTGCAACATTTATTTCATTCCTTAACTTTATTCACCAGCATTTTCAAAACTTTGCTAAATAGGAGCAATAGGAGCAAGCACTCCTGCTACCTCTGAAGGTCCTGGGAGTGCCTCTCATGTGGCACCATCTAGCAAGCCATTGGGAGTCAGTGTGACCTGTGTCTAAACGGCAGCAAGTTATCCTGTGCCCATTTTTAGGTGATTTTTTTCAAATATATTTCAATCCTGGCATCAGTTACCTGAATCCCACCCCCAGATGTTGTATCGGAGATGTGTGTTCCTGGACGATTATTGATCTCTTCACGGCCGCCTGTTGCACCTGTAAAGCAGGGGTCACGATGGAGCCCTACCTCCAGGCACCACGAGGAGAAGTGAGTCAGCTCACAGAAATTCACTTATGATTATTAGTCATATTTGACTTTCCTTGCATTTGGGGAATATCTCTTCTTAATACACTGTTTTTAATGAAGAATATGATTCATTTGGTTGTCTTAGAATTTTATTCAGCATATACAATTGAGCTTGGTGTGTGTGTGTGTGTGTGTGTGTGTGGTTTCTGCCATACATGTTACCTTTGCAAGAAGAAGGAGAAGAAGGAGAAGGGGGTGAGGGGAAGAGGAGGAAGAAAGCTCTAAGCTCTCCATCTTGGTCTGTGATCAAGACATGGACATTTTCATTTTCCCTTAATAAACTTTCTGTGTGAGGACAGTTTTAGGATCATAGAATCACGGAGTTCCCACATGTCACATAGGTTTTCCCTATTATTGACCTTGTGTGTTGGTAAGGCACGTTTGCACGATTCCTGACCTGTGTTGACGTACTACCACTAACTGAAGCCCATGCCTCACCTGAGAACTAAAGTTCTCAGCTTTCCCCGCTGGGCGTCCCCCTCTGCATTTGGTTGTCGGGTCTCTGACCCACTCTCTTAGCCTTCTCTTCTCTCTTTTTTGGTGGAGTTGACCATTCTGAAGAGTCCCCTCATCTACTTTATGGAATGTGCCTTGATGGCATACAGGATGTCTTCTCATGGTCACACTGGGGCCGTGAGCTTTTGAGAGGAAGCCTGAGGAGCGGAGGCGAGCTGTGTCCTCCTCACTGCGTGGTACCAACGCTGCCCACTGCCCATGCGGCTGTCACTTGGACCCTGGGCTGGAGTTCAGGGGCTGTCTATTCTCCCTAGGAAGTGCACTGCAGGGCACCAGCCAGGACCTGCGCTCGACATCAGCTGGTGTTCTTTGGAAGTCTTCCACCCAAGCTACGCGGGTATTTTCCTGCTCCTTAGGAGTCTCCCAGTTTTTCTAGAGAGACAACCAAGACAATTTGTGTGTTGGTTTGTTTGATTAAAGGGAAAAACTTTTTTTTTTTACAACTTTCTCCATTTCTTATATGTTTTTTGAAATATACGATTTTAATTTTTCTTCTTGATCATAATTTCAGAATTATAATTATATAAGATTAAAATAAATTATATATTTATAGGTATAATTACTAGGAAATCAGTTGCTGCATGTTTTCTCATAGTCTATTACATACGTTTCACTGCTTCTGTCTCCCGGTTTTCCGCGGGGTGTCTCCTCTTTGCTTGATCAATCTGAGAGGCAGATTGCTTGCTGTCTTGCTGTGAGTGGCCTCTTCTTTATCCAAGAACCACTTCTTACACAGGTTTTTCACCTCAGTCTCCTTCACACCTGAGTTTACGTGATTTTCCTCATTTCCTTACTTCAGTGTTCTGCGTTCTTCCCTTGAGTGGGAAGCTGCGTGACGTCCCCCCCCCCCCTCCGAGTGCTGTCTTCTCCCTCTGCAGGTCTGTCACCTGCCGTGGGCCAGTCTGGCTGCCTCTCTCTCAGGCCATGGCTGCACGCAGCCCATTGGACTTCCCATAGTGGCAGCTCCTCTCCTCGCTGCTGCCAATCCCGTAGTAGTTCTGCGGTGACACTTTTTCCTCTTAGTCTCTTTTGTCACCTACACTGAGGTCGTGTTTCTATTTTCCTGTTGGTTTGCTTCACACTGTAACAAGCTGCTTCACCACCATCGTCTCATCAGTACCGAGAACCTGAGTGAGTGTGAGGTGAAGTCGTCTCCATTTCCCGCTAAAGCCAGCACGCAGAGCACCCAACTCGAGGGTGACGACCGCGGCGCTGGCTGGTGGGGTGAGCCGCTCCTCCCTCTGCTGGGGCAGCTCCTGGGGAGTGGGGACGCTGCTGCAGGCCCTCCTTGAGGGGCCACATGGGACTCTTCAGGTTAAACTGCACACAGAGTTCGGAGCAGTGCCTAACAGGACACGCACCCATTGTGCCACAGCTCTTAAAATGAGCCGTGGCCTTTCTCTAGTGCCTGTTCATCTCTGTAATCAGCACAGTCCCTTCCTTTCTTCCCCGTGTGCTCACACACATGTACACGCAGGCCCCTGTGGTGCCCCTGAGCCTTGACCTGGAAGGGCCAACTGCACATGGCTTTGTTCTGTGAGTTGACACCCCACGCAGGGTCACCTTTGCTGGCTGGAGGTAAGGCTGTCACGCKGGTGGCGGTGGTGTGTGGTGTCATGTCCGTTAAAGGGATAACTCTGCAGTCACATGCGGACGTGGGCCAGCGCGCTCCAGTGTCTGAGCTGGTGTCTGCGCCCACTCCTGCTGGCCTCTGCTCCGTGGCGCTGGCTCCGAGGCTAAACTGCAGATCTTCAGAAAGGCCCAGGAGCCAGGAGGGGAGGCTCCTCCACCACCGGCCACTGCAGGCCCTGGGGGGCCTCGCCCCTGTGGCCCGCACAGCTACTGTCCTGGGAGCCTGGCGGGAGCCCCCAGAGTGCTYTCCTCTGAACCCTGCCCTGTGCTTCCGGGACGGGGGCCCGGCGTCTCCTGGTGTCCTCCCTGACTTTCAGATTGTGTTGGGTCTGTGTCAAGGCTGTAGAATGGCCGCTCCCTGCTTTCCGCCTCCKTGGAGGTGCTTTCTCACAGTGTGCAGCCGACTCCTCTTCTTACTTCCACAGTCCAGAAGGGGCTCTACCTGCAGATTGGCCTGCAGGTGCCATAGGCAGGGGCGTATCTAAGGAAAAGAAATGTCCCTGACATTGCTTATAGAGTCTCAGTGTCATCTCCACCTTCGACCTACTCTGTAGTCCCCGTGTGGGGACGAGTACATGGTGTACTTCATCCATGGCATACGTTAAGGGCGCCTGAGTGGCAGGCCACTCCCCTCGTGCTAGGCACAGAGAGAGTGTGAGCGGCAGGCTGCTTACCCCGTAGGCACACCCTGGGCTTGAGGCCATGTRAGGCMGTCCCTGMGCTTGCTCCATGGCCCACTCCTYGATTGGTCGCTGCAGGGACAGTTAGCAGACATTGCACTGGTGGCTGCTGTATCTGCTTGGCYACTGCCTGAGGATATATCCATGGTAACTGTGCAATAAAATCAGACCTGCTTCCTGCTTGGTCTCCCGAGGTCTGGATTAGYGACTCCGCAGCCACCCTCTCCTCTGCCCTGTTCTGTGGACCTCCTCGCTGGATGAGAGAGCCCACGCACCCCAGAGGGGCACAGATGTGGAAACTGCAGTCTTTGGATTGCCATGCAAACAGATTCTGCTCAGATTTTACCAGCGGGTTGCCAGGCGCCTGTGTGTGGAAGGCTGAGTGCACTGAGGAGCCGTGGTGCTCCCAAGGCAGCTCCAGGCAGCGACTGGGCACCAGCGACAGCAGGCGGGAAGCTATGCCTGTGACTCTGGGGTGCCCTGAAAATYGCCCTCTTTGCCATGTGCCTAGCTGGGGTCGTTGGCAGTGAYGGGGTCATTACCACTTCTGGTTTTCCCGAAAGTGACCAACCTGACCAACCTGTTTCCCTAGGCTTCCAGAGTCTCTGGAACCTTCTCGCCCCTGTACCGAACCTCTTTCTTCTTGAAATGCTGAGACAGGCTTCTGTTGTTCTAATCAAACTCAGACTGACCYAGCACCTCATGGGCCTCTGTGCTAAAGGGGATCACAAGGCAGCGTGGGGTCTGTCTCCATCGCAGCCCCACGAGTCCTTAGCTGAATCCTGAAACTGGAGGAACAGTGACCCTGCAGCAGAACCTGGGGCCAATCCTTCTCACTCGGGGTCTCTGGGGGCCTGGGAGGATAAGCAGATTCAGATGYGACCAGGTGACCAGAGTGGCACATGGTGGTGACAGGGTACTTCTCCACACCCCATGAAACTCCTGCACTTGGTGTCCAGGTGTCTTGGGAGCCCAGTGATGCCCAGCAAAGACTCCAGGGGCCTGTGCGACCCTCAGTGCCCAGAGGAGCCCCCAGCCATGGCCTGGGGTCTGACACTGAAGAACTAGGAGTACCCTGTGGAYACAAGACAGGGAGCTAGAAGGAAAGCTGGTGTGGACACTAGCGATGGACCCAGACAGGGTCTGTTCCTGCAAGTGCCCGAGAGACACAAGGAGCTGGCTGAAGAGCGGAGCCAGCAGCCCGGGTTCTGGCTTTTCAGGTGGAGGGGCTGCCCAGAAGGGACGGCTGTGTATCAAGCTGCCTTTCGCCTCGCCAGGCTGCATAGGGGTACAAAGGCACTGGCTGACACAGCTGGACTCCCAGGTGGTCATCAGAGGGCTGAGCAGCCTGATGGACCGGTGTCCTAGAAGACTGCAGGAAATGGGGAAGATCACACGTGAATTTCCCTTTAGACAAAGTATAAATGAGCCCTCTAAGGACTGCCAACAGGCGGGCGGCAGAGGGGACAGCATGCGAGTGGCAGTAGTAATAGCTAATGGTGCCTTAGTGGCTACTGGGTKCGAGGTGCTGGTCTATGGATTTATGGTCTAATGAATCTAATTCTCGGGGCAACAGTTCAAGTTAGTTTGTGTTATTATCACCCCATTTTTGAAATGGCGGACTGAGATATGGAACGTTCAGGTAAATTTGTCTCACATTACGCAGCTCAGAAATGGCAGAAGGAGGACTGCCAACTCAGGGAACCTGGCCTTTGACCCTTGTTCTGACCCTGGATGTCGTGCTGTGTCACGGTACAACTTTATACGTAAGTTTTTCACGTTATTGGCTACTGACTGGGGGGAGGGGATTGAGGGGCAGGGCAGACAGGATAGAAGATTCTGGCCAATGGCATAGTCCAAAAGATGGCAAAACACATAGAGACAAGGGAGCACTGGAGCCAGTGCCAAAGGAATAGAATTCATTCTGGATCGCAGGGTGGCGGGCTGCAGGATGAGCATCAGTAGGTGCATCCTAAGTTCCTTGGTGGGCTAGACTGAGGAGCCTCTGTTCTTAAAGACATGCACACTTCCCACAGACAGACTGGCCAACATGTTGAGTTTTTAGATGTTCCATCTTGGTCAATGTTTTGCTTTGTGAAGGCATTATTTTAGGACCAGCCTGTATCCTTAGAAAAATTAATGCACAATGGTTATAAGTCATTAACAACTTGGCGTAAAATAAGGCATTCCACGTTTAACCTTGTGGCATATCCCAGCAAAACACCAATTGCAGATGAGAGGAAGGAGGAAGGAAGATCTAGGACACGGTGAGAAAGAAGGCCTGCTCCTTTTGAGGCGGGTATGGGTGCAACATGAGCCGAGAGATCCACCGGCACGAGCCCTGGATGTTTTCAGAGAAGCCAAAGTTGCTTTCCATGTTTCCTACTTAGAATCTGCTTCATTTTTCATTTGTTCATCTCTAGATAATATTGTACTACACACCTTTTCTATCTACCTTCAAGATTYCTTGTGAGAAATGAAACAGGAGTAAAACGGCTTTTTAACTATGTACGATTCTTGGCAAMTAGCAGTAGCAAAAAATGCTGTAAACCAACAAAAGGGAGGTGGCAGTGACAGAAATCCCAGTTTTTCCCACAGTCACATCCCCACGCATGATTTTACCTTTCCTGGGGGCTGGCTCTTGAGCGGTGTTTGAATGACCATCGCTGGAAACGTCTCCTGCTGCCCCCTTGACAGCAGCTCCAGTAGACATGCTGGTCCTCTCCTCCCAGGGACTGGCATGCACCCTCTGAAGTAAAAAAGCAAATAAGGACAGCGAAGTGTCCTGTGTCTTACACAACMCGGCTCCAGTCTTTCCTCCTAAGAGTTAGGAAGGGTCACCGTTGGGTGGGAAGAGGACTGCACTTGGGCTCAGTAAGTGGGTTTGTCTCCTTAGCTCCATCATCGTGTGGTCTTGGAAAAGTCACAGTCACTCCAAGTGAGGAATCCAGCCTGTATTGCCTTGGTRAACTATAAGATTCTGTCTAGTTCGGCATCCCTGTGACATTAAGCTGACACATCAACTGGACGTGGAAACCTGACCGACCTATTTGGAATTTCATCTGGAAGATTGCAGTGGATTAAAATAGTTGGGAGATGTATGGAACATTCTGCTGTAAAAAATAAGAATAATGTGTTTATCCTTCCTGGCCACACCCTGGGGCAGCTAGTTGGACACAAAAGACTTTTTCAGCTGTAAGAACTGAAGACCACTTTCACTGTAAAAATTTCCCCTATAGCCATAGGGCTCTTCAAGCGAACCAATGCCCGAGAGTTCGCTCTCAGCTGCTCATTCAGTGGTTCGGTAAACATTTGTGGGATAAATGAACGGAGCGCTCTTCCTCCATGGCCCCTTCTCCTGCATGATGGAGGACTTGATTCTCTCTCATCCACCCCCCTTCCTTGCTTTCTGTAACTGAAGCACTTGCCAGTTTTCCATAAAACCAGCAATCATGGCTTTTCTGGAACCTATGAGAACACTAAGATTTAGCAAGAGAGGGCAGAGATAGGACAACGCTGTGGTATTGAAGTGGCACCCCGTTTCTCCACAGAAAAGCCCTCTTCACCATGGCTGATTTTAGGACTATCAGCAAAAGAGTCTCTGCAAGAGTTCAATGTAGATAACCTTCCTATTTTCATGTCACCCTGTTTACTAGGCCACAGGCAGAGAAGATACCAGCACTCCAGGTGCTGGACACCCCCTTACTAGTTTTTCACAAACGTATCCAGTACAGTAATTTGTAGAAATGTGCAAACCAGGCCTCTGGCCTTGAGCTGGGCTTCACAGAGATGTCTAYATTTTTAAGATAAGTTACAATTGGGCTCTATGGTAACAGCTGGCAGGGGGAGGAAAGAGGGGAGAAGAAGCTTTCCCCTTCTCAGGTGTTGTCCTTGAAGGGTTAACTTGCCCAGAACAGTGAAAGGAAAAGCTGCTTTTATGTGAACTGCTGAGCCCCTCCCCTTACACGCTGGGTATAAAACTCTGAAACTCCCTGAACTCGGGGTTCAGGGGATTGATTGATTACAGCAAAGGCTGTACCCTCTGAACCTGGTGCAGCCAAATAAAACTGTTTCCTGCTATCTTCGGTGCCTTGCCTCGTTTGTCCCTACAACTGTATGACAAGGGACGCATCCAGGGACAATAGCTGAGACATGGGCTCTGGTCAAAGTTACCCCCAGGAGGGGGTGTAGTGTGAAAGGAATACACAAGAGTGGCACTTGCTATAAAGAAAACAAGAGCAGCCTGGCACTCAATGGTGACTTGCACGAGGGAGAAGGGTCGACGGTGCCAGTCCAGCTGCTGGACCTTGTCTGCATCGGATGCTTGTATTTGAGCTGAAATGGGAAGGACGAGAAGGAGGCAGAGGTGGACGAGAGCAAGCTGGGTGTGTTTCCTGGGAGACTGGTGCAGTGTGGTCATGCAGGGTGTGTGAGGGCCAGAAGGAGAGGAGACCCTTGGGTGGGCTGGGCCACACCACTTAGGGTCCTACAGGCCTRGGGATGGCAGGGGACCACCTTGACTGAGGTGTGGTATGTGGTCCATAAGGGGCCAGATGAGGACCAGGAGCCCGGGCAGGAAGCGGTGTCTTCCCCTGGCAGCTGGGCTGGGACAGCTGTGTGACAGGACCACATCCTGGACTTACATTGGGGACGAGCCAGTTAGACTTGCTCAGGTGGCCCTGTAGGAATGAGAGAAAGGCCGGACTCGCCAGACATCTCGATGAAGGCTCCAGCAAAGGAGAGAATGGTGTGTGCCCAGTGAGACAGGAACGAGTGAGGGGGACAGGTTTCAGACAGAAAGCCAGGGTTCGGTTTTGGACACATGGAGTTTGAGATGCCCGTTGGAGCTAGGAGGGAAGGCTGCCTGGTGGGCTTTCTGTCCTTGAGCCCACAGCTTGGGGCCGAAGGCCCAGGGAGAACTGGAAATCCTCAGCCTTAGCTGTTCCTGAAGACCAGGTAGATGAGAAAAAGTTAGCAAAGAAATCGGGCCGACTTATCCGTCTCCTTACCAGGAGGGTTAGTGCCTGTTCCCGCTAACACAATCTGCGCCTCTGCCCCCTGCTCTGGGGGGTGACTTTCCCCTAAGAGACCACACAGACGCGGCTCAGGTGGCAGTGCTGCCTGTGTCCCGCCCCCGCCCCAATGAGCAGCTGGTGGCTCTTATGCACAGTGCCAAAATCAGAGCTCTCTGCCCGAACCCTTCACCCAAGAATGGCTTCCTAGAGCCACGAGAATTTCATTTCTGTTTTTTTCCCTATACGAGTTTATAAGGAAGGCTAGGTAGGTTTTCAGTAATTTGATGTTTTTAGGCCTGATTAAAAAGATCTTCCCCTGGAAAACGTTCACATAATTGCCTCATCACAGATATGATCGATACTTTTATTTAAATCAATGTATTCCTCAAAACAAGCCCAATACATGAATGCATGAATCTTACTGTAGATCATCTAGTGCCAACATATCCCTTAAAAGTATAGTTTAAACTTCTGGTTTGCATCCAAATGTTGTCTCCCCCCCCCACCCCCCCCACACCTATACTTTTAGAGACATTTATTCCCTGATTTAATGGATGGAGGATTCTCTCTCTTTCCAGAATTATCTCAGGAGAGAAACGTTCTCCTCAACACCCACAATCTCTACCCCAAAGCAGCAAATTAAACATCTCTTAAAGGGGAAAAGACCCATCCCCACCTTTCAAAAGTAGAATATTAAAAAGCAAAATCTTAAGGCCAACCTGAGGGAGGCAGGATGCAGGATCCTCTTTACCTTTCAAATAAATTTCTCTCAGTTTTTTGCAATTGTCGAATTGCTTGCAGGTAAATGATTAGCGAAAACTCCAGCCCTGGTGTTAGTGACCGGGAGGGTTTTATTGGCTCAGTAGTTTAATTTTTAACTTTACTTTTATTGTTCAATTGATAAGCAGGTCAAGTTCACAGAATCTTCCTCATGCTTCAGGTTCATTTGCACCTGCYTTGGTCCCCCAGTCAGAACCCATGCCCGTGGGATCCCACGTCACTGGAGCCCCCCTCCAGCACCGTCACCTTCCAGGGTCTCAGAATCATCACAGTCTCCACGCAGATGACCCCTGTCTGTCTCTTCTGAGTCCTCTTCCACCATCCCCCTGTTTAACCCATTAAGTCCGAAGGTTTCAATTCTGCAAATATCTCAATGAACTAGACACAAGTGCATGGAAGTGATTGAAATCATAATCTAGAGCGTCCATACATTATACTAGTATTATATCAGGATTATTATGCTGCAATACAATTATGTTATCAATTAATCRTATTAATTTATAGCATAGTTGTTAAGCTATACCACAATCTAATTATATTTATGTACTTATATGACATTAAATACGACCTTTACGTTTCTATAGGTGTTCCACATCTGGGACGACAGGACAAAATGTGTTTTCCACAGAGGAGAAACAGCACCTTTAGGTTGACTTGAGTGATTTTTGTGTTTTTCTGATTATGATTCTCTGCACAACGTCCACTGGGTTTCCTGTGGAAATCAGCACCCTGTGACTCTGCTGCCTCTGGCAGGGAAACATTTCAGAGGGTCTGTGCATGCTTGCATGGTGTTTCTTTGCCTTTGATTTCCTTGTGAGCCCACTTGTCAAGGCAGCCCTTGGGAAAGCTGTCTTGAACTCTGCCCTTGAACTTGGCTTGTGAAGTCACACCCAGGGTGATCTGGCCGGTCCCCTCACCTTGCATGTTTTTCCGCTGACCGTGGACTCATCCTGACCTCATCCTTGAGCTCTGGACTTTACCTCTTCAGCAGGTTTCGACTCTCCAGGGTCCATTAGGTGCTCGGTCTCAATGTGGCCATGAGCAGAGCTCCTGCACCCCCTTCAACCCTGCTGTTGCTCCAGGATCCCTGTGTGGCCAGTGCCATCTCCACCCCCGCAGATGGACTCTGCAGAGAGAGTTGAGTTCGCACTTTCCCTCACTACTCAACATCTGCCCAACCAGCAGGGTCCACCCACACCTTTCCCACAGGCCATGGTGTTTCATTTCCTCTATTCCTATCTAAATAATCTGTCATCAGGACACACAAGACCATCTGCCTGGCCCCACAGTCTCTACTCCCTTTCATTCCCTCTCCACGCAGCAGACAGAATGTTGGGAATGTAAACGGGATCATCTTACTTACTAGTCCCCCAACCCCTTCCCAGAGCCCGTAGGACAGAATGCAYCCCTTTCCGTTTCCTTGAGGTGCTGTGAGACTTCACACCACCCAAACTGCGCCAGCCTCCCGGCCCTGGCGCCTGCCACTCTCCGTCTTCACTAGCGCCAGGCAGCTCTGCCCACCTCGGCCTCAGTGCCCTGCCCCCAGCCAGGAACACCCACGCCCACGGCCCCCGCAAGTGTTTCACTGATGATATCAGAAGGACAAATCAAGAAGCCTGTAACGTGACGTTCGAATAGTAACCAAAAACATTATCAAGAAAGAAAAAGTTGGGAAAGGCAACCTCAAACAGACCTCATGAACCTGGACAGGATGTCGTGGGTTTGGAGAAGACCAGAATTGGAACAAAGAATTGTATTTAAATCGCCTTTACTTTTGGTAAATCTATTTTAAATTGTGATTTATAATTTATAATTATAATTCAATTATATAATTATAATTAAATCAGTTTTAGTACSTGGAATAAAGTTACTTGATGTATAGCCACAGAAGGATACAAACTATCATCCGTAAGATGAA